TCCTTGTAATCCTTAAAAACAAAGCACTGTGTAGCCAGGCATATTGGTACGCAGCTGTAATTCCAGCAACTTGGGAGGCTGGGGCAGGAGGATCATAAGTCCAAGGCCAAACTCAGAAATTTAGCAAGGTCCTGAGCAACTTAGCAAAACCTTGTCTCAAAATCTTAAACTCTTAAACAAACAAATAAAAAAATGGCTGGAGATGTGAGTCAGTATGAAGCACCACAGGTTCTATTCCAGCATCAAAAATAGAAAGTAGGGGGGGGGTGGAGGTGGGAGTGAGGGGAAGCATGTGAAGAGCATCATCTTCAACAATATTTCAATAGTCATAATGTTTTATTGAATTATTTTTATAGCAACCTTCAAGATAAGCTTAAATCTATAGTTAACAGTTCAAAGGGGAAAAAATAAAGCGCACCGGGACAGGGATGTAGCTCGATGGTATAGTGCTTGCCTCACCCTAGGTTAGATCCCCAGTAAAACACACACACACACACACACACACACACACACACACACACACACACACACACACACACACCCGCGCGCGCTGGTAGGGGGTCTATCATGTAGTCCATTGCTAATTGTTTTGACATGAGGTACTTATTATGGAAATTTATAAGCACAGGACCCATAAAATGAAAAACAAGTTTAGCAAAATCAGAAATGGCTCCAAGGACTGAGAACAAAATAAGAGAAAAAGGGCGGGGATTGGGGGGTAGGGCTAAAGTGAAGAAAACAAGTACACATTCAAAGGCACTCAACAAGGATATCACTTCTACTTAAGAATTAAACATTAAGGTATTTCCTACACCTTCCACAGTAATGTCAGTTAAGAATGATTTCATTTCTAATAAACCCAAGATAGTACAGAATTTTCAAAGCAGTTGTATGTACACTCTACCAAAACAAATGCATGAAACATTTTGAGAATATTTTTCAAGAAAGCTAAACAAAAGCATAAGACTTTAAAAACTAACATAAAATCAGTTAACAAAAAAATTAACCAAAAAAGGGAAAGATTTTCTCTAACCTGTCTCATTTAGCAATATATAGTTTACTGCCAAGTGCAGTACAATGACAAACACACAATTTGCCAAAAATTCAACACATTAAAAAAAAAAAATCAATCATCCTATTACTGCTAGCATGTGCCAAGAATTTACAAGAGATCACAGTTAGAGATCACAATTTTTCCTTTAGGAGGTAGGGGAGAAAAAAACACAACTGAATTCTTGGTTGAGGACTCGATTTTCAGACATTACATCCACTTGTAATTTAAATAATCTTATTTAAAAACAATTCATTCCACAGTCTCCTGTACAAAATATTTTCATCATGGCTGCCTAAACTATATATATTTGGCCTACTATACCTATGGAAACAGAATAAAATATAGACAAGCTGCTTAACAAGAACATAACTTGTTACAGCAGAAATAACGACTCATTCTAGGACTCAACAATTTCATTATGGTTATGAGATTTGGGAGAAACTATCTGATCACATAGAAAAGGATTCTGAGCATCTGAAAAACAACTTCCCTTTTCTTCTTTTTTAATTAAAGTAATGCTTTATCTGGCAAATTATTAAAAATTTAAAATTTTGAGAAGGTCAACAAACATTTAAATAAATACCAGTCAATCTGGTAATGAGGGTAGCAGGGTGGGAACAGAAGTTCACTGGATTAGATAATGGGGAATGAAGGGAAGTGGGGAGAGGAATGAAGGGAATTGAGGGGGGATGAGAATAAAACAGTAAAATGAATAGAATCTAACTTTCCTATGTTCATATATGAATACAACACCAATGAAACTCCACATCATAAACAACTCCAAAAATGGGATACTAATTAAAAGTTATACTCCATGTATGTTATATGTTTAATATGTCAAAATACACTCCACTGTCATGTAGATCTAAAAAGAATTTTTAAAAAGCCAATCTGGTAATCAAAAACTTTAGAGTATTTATGCTGTACTGGTGGTTTGAATTTAAATACAATTATAATGTGCAAAAAAATATTTACTTGACAGTACTTTCAGTGCCCAAATTTCGTTTCCTTTTATATGATCTAGAGCTCGGAAAGTTAACATTTTAAAAGAGTATTTGGATAACTTAATTTCAAGAGGATTCAATCAATCCCAAAAAGTTTCCCAACATGATCCCTTGGCTGGCCTTATACTTCTCACCCCTCTAATCAACACATTATTATTTGAGAATATTACTCAGAACCAAGTAGTGAATGAATGAACTAAGAGGTTTTTTCAAGTTATTAGAATACCCTATGGAATAAGTTCTCTTTGGGTATTTTTATTTCATTGCATTAGAACACTTACCACAGCATTACCAAAACCTATTAATATTTTCAATGCAATGTTTCTGAACATAACCTTACTTAGAGTCAAGATGCCTTTTTGTTAAATACACAAAATACATAGTTTATGAATCTTCAACTGCATGCGCCTACTATAATTTTAAATGAGAAATGTTTAATGTCCACCAAGATAGTAGTAAATTATGCAGCAAAGTCAGTGAGAATAATGCCACAAATATTGGCAAGCTGATTTAAGCTGCTAACACTTTTAAAGAAAAATAAGCTATCTTACGAAAGTAGTGAACCTCTAAAACATCCACTTTAAACGTGAACTTATAAGTAAACTTATAGAACTAGGTCTACAATGTAGAAATTCTGCAAAAATTACCTGGACTATTATCTTCAAAACAGAAACAAAACAAAGTTTCATTTCAAATATACAAAGTCATACATGTGAATAAAACAAACAAACCCAAGAAACACAGGTAATTTGCTGGTTAAAAGCACTGCTGCCTCAATCACCAAACTCTTCAGATAAAATCTTAAGTCATCTTTTTACTATTGGTAAAGAAAAAACATTTTTCCAACATATCTACCAACTGCCTTCTCTAGTACATTACAACATTTCTTCCAAAAGGAAAATGAAGAGAATCTACTAGTCAACTATCTGCCCATCTTTCCCAACTTCTTATGTACCCTCTTTCACAAATCTAACATTTATAAGTAGTAAATGTAGATTTATTATTTTTAAATATAATGTACTTCCTTATTTAAATACATAAATAAAGAACTGAAAGAGTGAAGTACCTCTGGTTCCATCATGCCAATTTGGCCAGTTGCCCATAAAGAATTTATATAGAATTTTCTCAAACCAACAAATTTGGAAATACCAGTAAAAATGTATCTCAAATACGTCAATACAACTTTGCTGGGGGGAAAAAAAAACGAATCTAAAAAAAAAATGGCATCTTTCCAAAGAAAAATCAAGGTCAAATGGATTGTGTTTGGAGGCAACAAAAAATATTCTTAAGCACTTTCCAATTATTAGTCCTTAAAGTGTAAGTGTGAATCACATATTTGATCTTGTCTATTTCTCCATATAACTCCCAAAATCCTTGGGATGTCCAAAGTGATAGCAGGTTTTCTATACTAATAAACTGAACTGATGGCTGACAAGCCCCAGGTAGCTTCAGAATGGGGGCTAGTCACTGCAAAGACCAAGGTGGGATTAAAGAGTTGGTACTTTCAACCTCTGGAGTGGGGAGGTTAACTGAAGGTTAAGTTGATCACCAAAGGTCAAAGACATAATCAACCTTGCCTATGTAATCAAGCTTTCAAAAAATTCAAAAGGACAAATTCGGAGAGGTTCAGGACACTTAGGCAAACCCAGGGAGGGCAGGGAAGCTTCAAAACCCCTTCTTCCATCCTTTGTAATTTCACTGATTTAAAAAAACTGGTAAAGGTACAATAGCATTTCCCCGAGTTCTATGAACCATTCAAGCAAAAGAACTGAAACTGAGGAAAGGGTTTTAGGAACCTGATTTATAACCAGTTGGTTAGAACAGAGGTAAAACAACCTGGAGCTTACATTTAGCACTTGAAATGGAGAGGGGTGTCAGTTTTGGAGACAGGGTTCTCAACCTGTGGGATATGACACTTTTCCCAAGTAGACAAGAAATGCATTTAGAGGACGTCCACCTGGGGCTCACTAAAATTGACTGATTGCAGGTAAGAAGAAGCCCTAACATTTTTTCAAGTCACTGATATTTTCTATGTTGAACGTTGCAGTGAGAACACAGGAAAAAGTACTTTTCTAACAGTAAGAAATCTTATATGGAAGGTGAGGAAGAGTATCGGCATAGAGGTGGTTGGTCATAAGCTGCTGTGTTATACTAGATAATGTACATGTGGAAATGAGCTATTCTATTTTTGTACGTATTTTGAGTATTCCACAATAAAAATAGTGAGTTCTTTATAAAAAAAAAAAAAAAAGAAAGAAAGAAAGAAAAAGATTGGGGTATGCTGTGCTCAATGTCTGATTAAAAGCCACTATGGGGCGCAGTGGCATGCACCTATAATCCCAGCAGCTCGGGAGGCTGAGACAGGAGGATCACAAGTTTGAAGCCAGCCTCAGCAAAAAGAGAGGCAATGAACAACTCAAGTGAGACCCTGTCTCTAAATAAAATACAAAAAATAGGACTGGGGATGTGGCTCAGTGGTCCTGTGCCCCCAAATTCAATACCTGGTACCAAAAAAAAAAAAAAAAAGCCACTATAAATTCCAATAAAGCTAACTAAATTAACTACATATTTATGGCTACTTATTAAAAACAACAAAATCTCAACACTCAAGCCATATAGTTTCAAAAGAATTTTACTCACTCTGAAGAAGTACTGGTATGATGTTACAAATATGATGTCTTATAGTTTTTCCTTAATAAGGTTTCCAAGAAAACTAGCATCTTTTGGGCTACAGCAACATAACACTATATCAGAAATTCCTGCCTTTTTTTCCTTTTCTACTAGATACATGTATCTACCTACCTAAAACTAGGAAAAAGATAAATGGAACATAGGCACCAATATACAAACAATTATAGTCTCTCCAAAATAGGGATTCACTAAGTCGTCTTTGCCCCAATATTTCTCAAGAATGACATAATGCATGCAGGCAGTCTACTCACAGGGATACATGGCATTGCTCAGGATCAGCTCTGGTCAATTCTTCCTCTTCAATATCAGACTCTCCTCCTGAACTACTGTCAGTGATGTCTGAATCAAATGCTTGTTCACTGCACCGCAAGTTGGCTATGCCACTAGCTGTAAATCTCTCCAACTCTTCTGAAATTGAATCGCTTTTCAAGAAGTTGCTAAGTCCCTCTGAAGTGGTAGTTTCACTGGCAGCTTTTCTCAAGGCAGCTTCAGCCTTTCGGGTCAGCATCAACTGGCTCCGGGATCTCAAGGATTCCAAATTTGGCAATTTGCTCAAAGTTTTCTCTAAAAATCCACCCAGCTGATGCTGCAAATGCCTCTCCACTTGCTTGGCTTGTACAACCTGTAAGCGCTTCTGTAACCTACGGGCACGGCTCTCAATATCAGCCTGACGCCTCAATAAAGCTGTTATCCTTGTATCAGAATCTAAAGCACTGAAAAGAATGGAAGACAGGGGAGACTTTCTGCCCTCTAACTTGACATCCCCCAAGTTAGAGCTGGAGTCTGTACCAGGTGATAACCTACTGCTTCCTTGAAGTGCTGGCTGTTCCATGGAATTGACAGAAGATTTGTTTGCAGTGCTATTATTGCTATATAGAGTTGTGTGTTCTACATCAAGGCTTCTGTGTGGAAGAGTGCAATTGGTCATACCCCCCTTTATGTCCCCAGAGTCAGTTACCGCCACTTCACCTCCCTGAAGAGCAGATGAAGTGAGAGCCCGTTTTCCCTCATTGAGGGAACTGGAATTGTCATGATCAGAATGTGTTGAACTTTTAGTCAATTTCTTAGCCAACCCATTTACAGGCGCTTGTGGCAGAGCTGTCTGACCACTTGTATTCATGGTTCTAAGATTTTCTAAGGAAAACTCCAAAACTGGCTGTCTCCCCAACAGCTCAGCTCGGAGTTCATAGGATTGAGATAACAGAGAATGAGATTTAAGGACTGTCTGCTTGCTGAAGACCCCTTGCAATTTCAAAGACTCTTTTGAAGGAACAGATGTTACATCAGAGCAGAGGTAAGATGCCACCAGTGGTTGCAGCTTTCCCAAGTCTTCCTTGGTAGAATTACTTCGGAAGTCTAGACTAGGATCCTCTGCAGCAATGGCTTTTCTTTTGGTTCCGTTGGCAGCAATAAGGATATTGGCGTTGCCGTTATTTTCGGCACTGCCGGGGGACAAGGTGGAGGATGGGGGAGCCAGTTTGAACCGGATGTGATGTGCTTCAGCTGCTGCATCGGTGAGAGCGGGCGCCATCGCAGCCATTCAGCACAGAGAGACAGGAAGTCCAGCCTCTCTCGATGCCGGTGCCGAGGCCAGCTCCACAGCCTCTTACTGCCTCCCCTGAGAACAGACTAGAAGAAAAAGAAGAAAAGTTAGAAATACAAAAACACTGAATAACATACATTTTTCATACATACACTATTTAAGGTATTATCCAAATTCTGCCTCCAGGAAGAAAACACTTTGGAGCACTGAATGTCTTTCATCTGGAGGGATGAAGGGATCACAATTCCTGAACAAGACAAAGAATTCTACCCTTCTTTTTGCCACTTGAAAACCAGATTTAAAGTTGCCAAAACAGAAGTTCCATTCAGCGATAATCACAAGTTGTTAAATCATTTGTATGTAAAACAAAAATCTCCAAACTTCTTGGGAATCAGTGGATTTAAAGCAAATATATCAAACTAAACATCCTGAAATAGCAAAATATTAGTAAGGAACTCCTCATGCTTACAAAAAAAAAAGTAAGCCAAATGTCATAGGTTTGTACACTTTTCTGGCCAGAAATCCAATTTTCATCAGCTTCTTCCCACTTCTCTGCAAGTACAGTCTGTAATACAAGGATAAATGTACCACTCCTACAATAGCAATTTTTTTAAAATTTTTTAATATTTATGTTTTCAGTTTTCAGCGGACACAACATCTTTGTTTGTATGTGGTGCTGAGGATCAAACCTGGGCCACACGCATGCCAGGCGAGCGCACTACCACTTGAGCCACATCCCCAGCCCCCTACAATAGCAATTTGCTTCAACAAATTTCTTTCATATCAGAGCACTCATTAATGTCTTCTATACTGGCTCCTTCCTTTCAGCCTAAGAATTTACTCAAGTCTCCTCTGTCCTCAAATTAATTGCCCAACAAGTCTCATTCCCTTTAACCAGAAACTCCTTTAAAGAATATTAAAAACAGCTGCCTCTATACTATTTCCTTTTCCATAATCTAGATTCCATCCCTACTGCTCTGACAAAGTTCACCAGTAGGATCATTTTCAAGTTCAATGATCAAGTCTGTGTCTCCTTTCTTGACTTCTTCCAAACATTAGCATTGGGCATGCTGACCTTCCTGAAATTCTCCTTTCAACACACAGATTATTAAAATATGCACACCAGGGTACTTGTCCTTAACACTACTATCATTCTGTTCTTTCTCCTGCCTACCTACCCCTTTAAATGCTGATACTCCCAGCCCCAAGATTCTCAATTCATTTCCTTGGCATCAATTATAGCATGATGGAAGGGACTGGGGTTATGGCTCAGTGGTAGAGTGCTCACCTTGCACGTGGCAAGGTCCTGGGTTCGATTCTTAGCACCACATAAAAATAAATAGGTAAGGGCTGGGATTGTGGCTCAGCATTAGAGCGCTCACCTCCCATGTGCAAGAACCTGGGTTCAATCCTCAGCACCACATAAAAAATAAATGAATAAAATAAAGGTATTGTGTCCAACCTACAACTAAAAAATAAATATTTTTTAAAAATAAATAGGTAAATAAAGTTAAAAAAAAAGAAGTCTCCCAACCAAGATTTTTGGGAAAAACAAATTATAGCATGATGAAGCTTGCTTACCCTCAAAAAATTTTTTTTTCTGAGCTATACTAATCAACATTCCCACTCCTAATCCCTAAACTCCCTGAATCTCAGAATTCCCTTTCTTCTTCCAACACACTTATTCCTCACCCTGTTTCATTATCTTAATTAATAAAATCATTTTTATTTATTTAATAATCAAGCTAGAAACTTCAATTATTTGCCTCTTCTTCATCTCTCTTAATTTATTTGATCTGGGAGCAAAGGGAAACCTATGTAAGTCATCTATTCTTAAAATATGGTCTCTGGAATTATTATGGGGATCTCAAGGACCATTTTGGTTTTTGTTTGTTGGGATTTTTGCTTTTTGTTTTTTGCGTGATGGGGATCAACCCAGTACCTTGCATGTGTGCTACACATGTGCTCATCCACTGAGCTACATTCCTAGCCAAAAAGACCATTTTGGAGGTCCATGTTTTCACAGTAATACTAAAACACTGTCTTTTTCACAGCGTTGACACCTACTCTTCAGTAAGAGAGTGCAAAACCAAAGATGAGCAAAACTGCTGGTATGTTAGAACAAATTGTACTAAGAGTCATGTATTCTCCACTTGCAGTTAAAAGAAAGCAAGCTCCACTTAAGATTTTCTTGATGAAGCAGTAAGAATTAAAATTTTTATTAAATCTTAACCCTTGAGTACATGTTTTAATATTGTGTATTGAAAGGAAAAGTACGTGTAAAGCACTGTGCTGCTTTATGAAGTCTGAGGAAAAGCACTTATACAATTGAGTTACAAAGCTGAACTAGTTTTCTACATGGAATACTATTTTTATTTGGCAGAAGGACTGACAAGTAGTTAGCAGCCATTTTCTCAAAGCTAAACAAAGTGAATCTGTCACTTCAAGGAAAATCATTGACAACATTTTTATTGTTGGGCTGGGGTTGTGGCTCAATGGTAGAGCGCTTATCTAGCATGCATGAGACACTGGATCCGACCCCTGGCACCACATAAAAATAAACTTTAAATAAAATAAAGGTATTGTGTCCATCTACATCTAGAAAAAAGTTTTAAAAATTTTTTAAAATGTTTGTTGTCAATGATAAAAAAGTGAGATTTCAAGCTAAAATTAGTATTTTGAACTTGGATCCACCTCATAAGCTTGAACATTTCTCCAATACTTAAAAAGCTATTTCTAATTAACCAGATTTGTGGTGATAGTAATCAATGTAAATATCTAACATCATATAATACAATATTCACATTTGAAAGCTCTGCATAATCCCCTAGAAAACTATGTATGGAGCCAGCACAGTAGCGCGTGCCTGTAATCCCAGCGGCTTGGGAGGCTGAGACATGAGGAATTCCAAAGCCAGCCTCGGCAAAAACCAGGAGCTAAGCAACTCAGTCTCTAAATAAAATTGGTCTCTAAATAAAATACAGAACAGGGCTGCAGAAGTAACACAGGGGTCGAGTGCCCCTGAGCTCAATCCCCGGTGCCAAAAAAAAAAAAGATAGAAAAGAAAAACCATGTATGGATAAAACTCAGTGCAAGACAGACCACTGGATCTTAATATAACAGTATGAAAAGTTAACTGATACAATTTTAGCTTCCATGTTACAACCAGCCTTTATAAAACTTTGGGTGAAATGTCATAAGATAGTCACAGGTATTTGATTAAAAAAAAAAAAAAACACTCAAATAGTCCTTTTCAAATCTACTTTTCTGATGAGAGCAGATTTTTTCTTTTTTTTAGTGCTCGGGATTGAATGCGGGGCCTTGCACATGCTAGGCAAAAGCTCTACCACCAAGCAACATCCCCAGTATTTCCTTTATATACTTCCACCTAAACCACATATCATAATATGCATGTAGAAGACATTAGTACCCAGTTGTTTTCTATTAAGTCAATTATTAAAAAGATCTGCCAAAAATGTAAAATAATGCCTTTCATTAAGCTTTTGCTTTGGCCAAAAGTTATTTTTCATAATAAGTAATGGGTTTATTATTTTAAAATGAAGTAGTAGATAATTATGTTTAAAATTTCTCAAAGTCTCTAATAAAGCAAGTATGTATAGATAATAACCCAAAAAAGGGTTGGGGATGTGGCTCAAGCGGTAACATGTGGCCCGGGTTCGATCCTTAGCACCACAAAGATGTTGTGTCCGCCGAAAACTAAAAACTAAAATATTAAAAAAATATATATATATTCTCTCTCTCTCTCTCTCTCTCTCTCCTCTCTTACAAAAAAAATAATAATAATAACCCAAAAAAGCTCTTTGTGCCAGTAATTTTTAAGAGTGAAAAAAGAGTTGGGTGTGGTGGCACAAGCCTATAATCCCAGCAACTCCATAGACTGTTCAGCCAGTCCCTGCAACTTAGCAAAACTCTGTCTCAAAAGAAAAAATAAGGACTGGAGATATGCTCAGCAGCACAGTGACCCTGAGTTAATTACCCAGTATTTAAAAAAAAAAAAAAAAAGGTAAAAAAGTCCTACAATCAAAGTATATGAATACATTATGCAATCCTCCAATTTTGACATTTTCATTCAATACCTATGTGAGATGATAGGCCCTACAGAACTACACTAAGCTTCTTTATAGTATGACAATTCAAATTATTAATATAAAAATACTAAATTATTGAGAAAACATTATTCCTAGAAGCACCCACACACACGCAGGCCAAATTTGTATACTGCTCTAAATGCTCTAAGTTTCTTATCTAGGGTTGTGTTTTAATGAACTTTCTATAAAAGGAGGTCTTTGGGGCTTATATATTTATTCTCATGGACTTTTTGGTTTACGGCATTCTGTGTGACACAAACTGTTCTATGTTCACTTTTTGCAATTCTGATTTTAAATTCAATATTAATTCCTAACAGAACATAAATGGTTGTTATAGATCGACAACTGAACTAATAGAAATTATTTGTTCAAAATACTGTGTTTTACAACATACAAAGCATTTTCCCATAAACAAAAAATCACTATCAGATCTTTCCCATCAATATCCTATTCTTTTGACTACCAATACACAGTTGATATATCAGCAATGCAATGAGGCATATTATCAGTGACACAATTAGTACAACATGTGGAAAAAAATTGCTGTACCTTACTTCCCAAAAGCACTAAAGTCTCAGCAATGGCAGGAAAACAGTCTTCTTTCTGGGGACCCAGACAAAGAAAAAAAAAAAAAAAACTTACACAAAATAGAAAAACACAGGTTCACCCAACAAAAATAAAAGATGGGTCATGATGGGTATATACTGGTGCATGCCTATAATCCCAGCTCCTCAGGTTGAACTTATGGTCCTCCTCCATAGCCTCCTAAGTTCAAAGCCACATTCAGCAACTTAGCAAAGCCATAAGCAATTCAGTGAAACCCTGTTCTCTAAATTAAATACAAAAATAGCTGGAGATGTGACTCAGTGGTTAATTGCCCCCGAATTCAATCCAAAAAAAAAAAAAAGTGGGGGGGGTCATAATCAACATCATACCACTGAAGGTATTTTATTTTAGAATTATACAATTCTTTAAAGTTTGACAACTTAAGAAAACTACACTGGCTCTAATTTCTAAGAGAAAAGTGTAAGACACCAAGAAGACTTCTTTTGGGCTGGGGTTGTGGCTCAAGAGGTAGAACACATGCATGAGGCACTGGGTTCGATCCTCAGCACCACATAAAAATAAAATAAAGATATTGTGTCCACCTATAACTAAAAAATAAATATTAAAGACTTCTCTGACCATAGTCCTCTCAAGCTGTCCATGAACTTGAAATTCAATCATACAATTTCAAAAGCAAAAGTTTATTTTATTCACATTTTCTCCTTGGTCTCAATATCCCCCACAGGATGCACTACAAAGAGCAGTTCCTAAAACAATCATCTAAATTCTATCTAAAATCATCTTCTTTCTTTAGAAACTCCTATTCTGAATTCCTAAAATCTTTAGGTTTCCAAACCAAAGAAACAGTACTGTTTAAAAAGAAAAGATATTTAAACCCATATCCTCCCTCTTCCCTTATAGAATTCAAATGCTATGCTTGAATTCAATACTATCCTTAAAAGCATTTATAGGTCAGGAGAGCAAGAGCTCAAGTAAGCAAGTCTGGATTCATATCCTGGCTCCAACTCCTCAAATTATTTTGTTCCCTCAACTGCCTCATCTACAAAATGACAGAGCCCACCTTATAAGGTTACAGTATTTTTATGTGCTTACACAAAATATTTTCATTAACTGAATCGATTACCTAGAACAAAATATCCTTTCATATTTATCTATTAATTATAATCTGGAAACAGCTAACATAGAAGGAATAAATTTCCACTAATTTTTTAATGCACAGAAAAAAGAACGCAAATTAGTCTAAAACTGCTTTTTTTGTAAATCTAGATTAACTTATTTTATTAGTTTTCATTATGTTGCTTATAATAAGAAAAGCATGTTAAATTCCCAGTAATTTAAATTATTATCTTTCTATACAATGAAATACTTCATAACATAGAACAAAGCATTGCAGAGCTACATTTACTAACATGAAAAAGCATTTGCTTCAATGATAAGTTTAAAAAAGTATTACAAAACATACTACGACCTCATTTTTGCTTTAAAAATGAAGGTGACAAGATTCTTTTGCCTTTTAACTTATACAGTGTCTCCATCAAAAACATGTATTACTTGTATAATAAAAGGGAGAGAAGCAAAAAAAAGGAAAAAAAAAGAAATTCTTAAGGAGTCAAAAAATCCAAATAAAGCAAAAACATCATAGTAAGCAAAATGTTCATTAAAACAATGTGGATCCCACTTGACCTCATAAATAACAAAAAGCTTCACTCAACAATTTAAAAAAGAGAAAAATTGTCAAATTTCTGCAGTTTTGCAAAAATAGCACATCAGCTTATGATAAATCACCTTTCTTCAAAAAATACAAAACATTAAAAGCTATAATTAACTAATTAATCATGATAACAACCTGGGTAGTACATTCAGGGCTGAGGTCAAAATTCACTAATGAGAACAGATAATGCAGTTATACTGTATAATCAAAATAAAGAATTCAAAATATCCTAATTCTTATCTCATTTGGTAGACTATAATCTGACAAACACAATACAGATGGAGCTATCTGTTGCCACTGTCATAAATTAAGCAGTAGAGACCCAAGAAAGGGGTCATTGCCAGGCGCGATTGTGCATGCCTTGTAATCCCAGCATCTCAGGCTCCTTGGTTGAAGCAGGAGAATCAGAGTTCAAAGCCAGCCTCAGTAACTTGGCAAGGCCCTAAGCAACTCAGGGAGACCATGGGTCTAAAAGAAAAGGACACAGCTCTGTGGTTAAGTGCCCCTGGGTTCAATATCCGCTAAAAAAAGGGGGGGGGGCTGCGAAGGGGTCATCAAATCAAGGTCCTTTAGCTACAAAATATTGGGCTATAAAATTAACAGTTTCTCTCCCAATTCTAAAGAAGCATTTTAAGAACAGGAAGCTGTAAAGGTATTCAGCATGCAAGCACATTTAACACTGCTGAGAGATTTAAATCACAATCAAGTTCAAATGGGTGACCTTTAGGGTCCATACCAAGATCCTTCTATTCTAAATTGCAACACAGACCCAAGAACAAATTTCTATTTAGCACAAGTAGCACTTGGGAAACAAACACATACCCGCCAGGGCAGTGTTTCTCAAACAGCATTTCTAACATCTCAGGCTGAATAATTTTTGTCATGTGGGCAATACTGTGCATTGTAGGTTGTTTGACAGCCATCTCTGGTTTCTGCCCGCTAGATGCCAGCAGCACCCTTCTGCAAATGGTAACAAAAACACCAAAAACACCTCAATACATGTGTCAAATGCTCCACACTGGCAAAACAAAATTACATCTACCAATTAAAAGCCCCTAGCTTGAAATACAGATAGATGTCTGTGTCTCTGTCTCCAGAAAGCAAAATGTTACCAGGATCATTTGAATACTCCAAGTCAGAACTAACTGCACCTACAAATGAAGACCTCACTTTATTCCCTGTAAATTCCCAGCAGTACGCCAGGTATACAAGAAAAACCTAGAAACACCCACCTTGAAAAAAATGTTAAGCTGCAGAGACCTAAGGGGAAGGGTTACCATCATCTGGCTGTCCAACAAGCCAAGCTTCACAACTGCACTTACACATTGAAAAAAGGAAAACGAAGCAAAACTCAGATGGGGAAAAAAAGTTTTTACTCCTAATGAGGCTTCTACTAACCTCTTCCGCACCATTATCTCATTACTCTGCATAAAGGATGAGTGAAAGAAAGGGGAGGAGGAAGAATGGTTGAAGAAGTATCCATGAAGTTTTCAAAATTATAGTTGAGATTTGAAAATTATTTTTAAAAGTCATTATGTAAACGATTAAGAAAAGAGTGGTAATGTAGCCCTCCTGAGAAAGGCAATGGCATGAGAAAAGGCAGGGCTCTTGTAAAACAAAGAATCTACAGAGGATTAAAAGAAAGGAACAATTTTCTTGAAATATAAAGCATATTTTAATAAAGAAAACAGTTCAGAAAAAGGTGGGAAGGTACTTTGAAGCCTGATTACTAATGGACAACTCTTAATAGTTAGCCAGCATTTACTCAAACTTAAGACAGCTGAATATCATTAAAGATTTTGAAAATGGGAGTGTCCTATCAGACACCAGAAAAACCAATTGGGTAGGGTGGATAAAAAGAAAGTGAAAAGACTAGCAAGGTGGCATATGCCTATAATCCCAGCAGTTCAGGAGGCCAAGGCAGGGAGATCAAAAATTCAAAACCCATCTCAGCAACTTAGCAAGGCCCTAAGCAACTTAGCAAGACCCTGTCTCAAAAAACTAGAAAGAGCTAGAAATGTCCAATGGTAAAATGGCCCTGGGTTCAATTCCTAGTATCAAAAAAGGTAAAAAGGAATCTATACGGCAAAGACGAATGAAGAAGCTACCACAATAATGCAGGTAGAATGCAATGGAACCTCAACTAAGGTGGTCACCACAGCAGAATGAACAAAATCTACTTCAAAACTTTAATCCAGAAATGTGAAATGGCTATATAAGAGTCAAAAATCTAGGATAACAAGGAGATAAAGCTCTCTTTCTTTATAACTTCATCTCCTTTAGGATGAAATCTTTCCATTTATTTCTCATAAAGCGCTCCAGGTTTAGTATATCCTCTCTATTCCTTACACTACCAACTCAGCCCAGGTCCTTATCAGCTCACACCTGTACCCTAACACCTTTCTGATTAGTGTCTCGGTCCCCCAAACCAGGTCTTCCTCCTCTAGAAGAGTATCTAATCTTTTTCATGAGTTCAATCTCCTTAAGAAAAAGTTAAAATAACACCAGAAAAAATATATCAAGCAGCATGAACTCAACAACCCCAGAATTTTCCAGATTCCCCAACTCCATCTTTGCCTATGGTGCTACTTCTACCTGGAAGGCCATTCTCCAATTCTTTTGCCCAGAACTTATTATTCTTCAATACACAGTATCTCCCCCAAAATTTGACTCCTCAGATTTTTATTACTTTCTTTCTACTTAAATTGCATAATGCACTTAAGTCACATCATTCAAATTCAAATCATCTGAATATTCCCTACTTGTCAAATTTTTTAAATTCTCTTTCCAAAACGAGCAAAGTTCTTTAACAGCATCTTTTTGCATGCTTACTAACTTGATCTAGAGCCTGGTACATCATAAGCACTATAAGCACTGATTAAAAAGACTTCTTGAAGTGGGTCTTCAAGTATAAATTAGATTTTGTTAAGAAAAAATTCTAATAAAGAAAATGACACAATCAAAATAATGGGAAATATTTGAGAAAATAAATAGTCATAGAAAGACATAGATGAACCAGGTGGTATATACAGCTTCTCAAGAAAAGAATGAGAGGAAGAGAACAGCTATGTAGAGATTTGTGATGTACCAGAAGTTACATTATGGAATGCACTGGAAATTATTTTCTTTACACAGAAACAAATGTAGATATATAAAGTAAATGAAACATGCTGAAAGAGATAATTTTTTAATAAGAAAGAAATAATGTGGGTCTTACCCCACCAAGTTCCTAACATTATCTTTTAACAGAGCTTCTTAACAAGTTTTATAACTACTAAAAATTATATCTAATTGGAAGACAGGTTACTAACTTTCATTGACCATT